GTTTCTTTCTGGATTAAACCTAACATTCAAGTTACAACAGGAGGTTGGAACTACTGAAGAAAGAAAACAAAACAGCCTGAAGCAAAAGCCCAAAAAGCAGTAAATAAAGAGGTCCTACTCTCCACTCCAGAGAGTACAGAATTTAAAAACAAAACAAATTTATATATATATTTTTAAATTTATTTTCCCTTTATTGATTAAGATATTACAAATGTGTCCTTATCCCCCCAATGTCCTCTCATCCCCCCAATCCTGCCCTCACCCTCACCCTCACCCCCTGTTGTCCACATCCATTGGTTATGCTATATGCATGCATACAAGTCCTTTGGTTGATCTTTCCCCCTCACCCCCACCCTCCCCTACCTTCCCTCTGAGTTTTGAGCATCTGATCAATGATTCTCTGTCTCTACATCTGTTTTTGTTCATCGGTTTATGTTGTTCATTATAATCCACAAATGAGTGAGAGCATGTGATATTATCTTTCTCTGACTGACTTATTTCACTTAGCACAATGCTCTCCAACTCCATCCATGCTGTTGCAAATGGTAGGAGTTCCTTCCTTTTTACAGCAGCATAGTATTCCATTGTGTAGATGTGCCAAAGTTTTTTAATCCATTCATCTGCTGATGGGCATTTAGGCTGATTCCAAATCTTAGCTATTGTAAATTGTGTTGCTATGAACATAGGGATGCATATATCCTTTCTGATTGGTGTTTCTGGTTTCTTGGGATATATTCCCAGAAGTGGGATCACTGGGTCAAATGGGAGTTCCATTCTTAGTTTTTTGAGGAAACTCCATACTGTTCTCCACAGTGGCTGCACCAGTCTGCATTCCCACCAGCAGTGCACGAGTGTTCCTTTTTCTCCGCATTCTCTCCAGCATTTGTCATTTGTAGATTTGTTGATGATAGCCATTCTGACAGTTGTGAGATGGTACCTCATTGTTTTTTTTTTTTTGATTTGCATCTCTCGGATGATTAGTGACTTTGAGCATGTTTTCATATGTCTCTCAGCCTTATGTATGTCCTCTTTCAAAAAGTATCTATTTAGGTCCATTGCCTATTTTTTGATTGAATTGTTTATCTTCCTTTTGTTAAGTTGTATGAGTTCCCTGTAAATGTTGGAGATTAAACCTTTATCAGCGATATCATTGGAAAATATGTTCTCCCATGTTGTGGGTTTTCTTGTTATGTTGATGGTTTCTTTTGCTGTGCAGAAGCTTTTTATTTTTATGTAGTCCGATTTGTTTATTTTCCCTTTAGTTTCCATTGCCCTAGGAGCTGTGTCAGTGAAGAAATTCCTTCGGCATATATCTGAGATTTTGCTACCTGTGGATTCCTCTAATATTTTTATGGTTTCCCATCTTACATTTAAGTGCTTTATCCATTTTGAGTTTATTTTTGTGTATGGTGTAAGTTGGTGGTCTAGTTTCATATTTTTACATGTGTCTGACCAAATTTCCCAGCACCATTTATTGAAGAGACTGTCTTGACTCCATTGTATGTTCTTGCCTCCTATGTTAAATATTAATTGAGCATAGTGGTTTGGGTCGATTTCTGGGTTCTCTATTCTATTTCATTGGTCTATATGTCTGTTCCTGTGCCAGTACCAGGCAGTTTTGAGAACAGTGGTTTTGTAATACAGCTTGATATCTGGTATTTAGATCCCTCCTACTTCGTTCTTCTTTCTTAGCATCGCAGCAGCTATTCGGGTGTTTTTTTTTTTATTCCAGATGAATTTTTGGAGAGTTCTTTCTAGATCTGTGAAATATGCTGTTGGTATATTAATGGGGAGTGCATTGAATCTATAGATTGCTTTGGGTAGTATGGATTTACCATTGCACCAAAAAAAATTAAGATACCTAGGAATAAACTTAACTAAGGAGGTAAAAGACCTCTACCCAGAAAACTACAGAACGTTGAAAAAAGAGATAGAGGAAAACATTAACAGATGGAAGAACATACCGTGTTCATGGATTGGTAGAATCAACATCATCAAAATGTCCATACTACCCAAAGCAATCTATAGATTCTCAAGTCTTTATGTCTGGGGACCATTGGAGCACGTTAGAGCAAGGTTGAGAGCAAGAGTGAGTTGGTTATCTCTGTGCATGTTTGCATTTGACCGAGACTGCTCTCAAATCTTTGAGAAGACAGTTTTAAGTGATAGAATATTTACATCTAAAAAACATAAAAAAGGTGTAGAGAAAGTAGTATTTGTAATTGCAAGGTTTCTAAAGTCACCACTCTAAGAAGAGGTCCAGGGACCTGTGCTTATCACCAGGTTTTGGCTGGAACAAAGAGTAAATTCTCCTGTCAAGGTGGAGCTTTCTCAGGCAGGCACTTTAAGGGGGGTGAGGGGTGTTGGAGGGGCGGAGTCATTCTAGGAATGCCGCCTGCCTTGAGCTGTTAGAAACTTTTCCAGTATTTGTTGAATCTCTTATTGGGTGGAACAGTGCAGGCAGGAGTGGAGAATGAAATTATTTGTGCCTAGAGTTTGCCATTTTTATAGGCCAAGGTTGGGGACCAGTTGTCAAGAGAGCTCAGAGGAACCTGACTAGAGTTTGGTGAATAAGAGTCTTTGTCAGATACTTTTTTTTTTTTAATGACAGGTATAGGGTTAAGGAAGAACGGACAAGGGTCTAGCCATACAAATATTAGCATTAAGTTTCCCTATTTAGTTTTAGATTTCAACGTGAATTTTTTTGTTTATCCTAAATCTGTGACTTAATTCCTCATATAGTGTCAGCAAGAGGCACTTCAGTACTAAGAGAACAGTCATCTTTGAAATAAGCTGAAAGCATTGTAACTTTTTAAACAAATACATTTTTATTGATTTTAGAGAAGAAAGGAGAGGAGAGAGAGATAGAAACATCAATGATGAGAGAGAATCATTGATTGGCTGCCTCCTGCATGCCCCACACTGGGGACTGAGCCCACAGCTCAGGCATGTGCCCTGACCTGGAATTGAACCATGACCTCAGTGTTCAACCAGTGAGCTATGCCAGCAGGGCTGTAACTTTTTTTTCCCCACCTGCTGGATACAGTGACATTTCTTTGCAGTAATTCTATTGAAAAAGAATGTGAGATAGTAGACAGGGGAGGTGGGGTGAGGGCTTGTGCTTCGGGGCGGGGGTGGTAGGGGAGAGGTCAATGGGGGGAAAAAGACTCATGTAATACTTTAAACAATGAAGAATTAAAAATAAAAGAATGCCAGTTGAACTAAAAGGGGGCAAATATTTTGAAATGACTGATGTTTTGAAATTATTATCATTATGGGTGAATAGACATATTTGGAGGAACCAAGAAATGAATTGTTTTTTTCCCCTAAAATAATGCAAACTTGAATTGCATTCTTAAAGAAAATAGTTAATATTATCATTTTCTTTTCTTACTACTGTCACTTCTTCTATGGCAACAATTGATATAAAGAAAAGTTGACCCATATGGAAGTTTAACAAGTGTGAAAAATATTTTTTTAAAACCTTACATTTCAGCCTAATTTTAAACTGGATAAATTTCCATGGATGACAGGAAATATTTGAGGTATGTAAGTATATATAACTGCAACTTGCCAGTTATTGAACAACATTCTATTTTAGCTTGTCTCAAAATACAATTTCTAATTAAACAGCCTTTGAAAAGTACTCAAAACATTTTAAAGCAAAAAAAAAAAAAGTTTCCGTTGCCCTTCTTATTATTTATTTTTTTGCAAGTAATGTGATTGCAAATAATTAGCTGGTTTTTTTTCAAGGGATAAATATTCCAACTTGTAATTTTCCCAATTGGACAAGTAGTTACTCAATTTTAAGGCAGTTTGTGCTTTTGGACAATTTTAATTCAACAAATATTTTTAACTGCTTACTCCATGCTAGGGACTGTGTTAACTATTTCATATACACTGGTAAACGGAGCACATATATTGTACCCTCAGGGAGCCTGCAATTTTATGATGGAGTAGAATGATACATTAATATATCTAATATAATTAGATATTATAAATTCTGTAAAATAATAGTCTCTTTCTTTATAAACCAGTTATATTATTCATGCAGTCAATACTAGTTGTTCATTATTTCAGCCAGATTATAATGGCAAATATATATATCATACAATTTACCTAAATTAAAAATAAATGGCTGCAGCCTGTAAAGGGGAAACTAATCCATTCTGCATTATCATTATAAATCAGACTATAGATGCAGAAAAAGATATATGGATATTATGCATATGTATGCATATGCCTGTTTACTTATAAACATCATGATAAATCAAATGTTCAGATCATCAATGTATGTATATGCATCCCTTTGGGAAGACCTCAACAACTGATTTTGTGTAACTGATAAAAGGCTCACCACAATTACTCTACTAATAATAGAAATATTGAACCCATTTACCTCTGTGGGTACAACCAAATATACTCCAAAGTTTTACAGAAATGAAAATCTTTCATTCTCAATTCCTATCATACAGAATTACATTTGGTCATTGGATGAATTATTTCATCATTCCTAGCCCAACTCCTGAAAAAGAAATCTGAAAAGAATGTCTTCTATTTATTATATTCTCTCTCTAATTTCAGCCTCAGGGAATTGAGTTCAATGATTAGTATTTAATTGATCACAACAACTGATAATGCCCTTAAATCTCTTCTCCTTTTATAGATGAATGTTCTCTGAACAACGGAGGCTGTAGCAACCACTGTTCTGTTGTTCCTGGAAGAGGAATTGTCTGCTCCTGCCCTGAAGGACTTCAGCTCCACAAAGACAATAAAACGTGTGAGATTGTGGATTATTGTAGCAATCACCTAAAGTGCAGTCAAGTGTGTGAGCAGCACAAGCACACGGTCAAGTGCTCATGTTATGAGGGGTGGAAGCTGGATGTAGACGGTGAAAGTTGCACAAGTATTGGTAAGTAGATGTGTGTTTTGCTATATTTAACAATAGCAAGTGCTTTTTTGTTTCTGTGTATTGTGTATCTTTCTATATTTAAGAATAGAACTTAAGAAAAAATCTAAAGACACCTTCAGAAAATTAGCAAAAGGGTTTATCTAATTTTAGGTAAGGCATAAGTAGAATCTTCTGGACAGGAAATGTTACAATAATCCTTACAATTCATCTGATTATTTCTCCCTCAGATACTGTTTTTATCATCAACCCCCCTAGGAACTTACTTTTGTATGCTCCAAAGCTTTTACTTTTATTTCTCTTTACATTCTTTTTAGAATCTAAAGTCTGGTCCTTTCCCACACTTCTAACTGTATTCCTAGCACTCCTGAAAACAACTCCTTGTTCTGGCTGTTTTCATCTTGTAACTCCCATTCGAAACACTGTGCTGATTCTCTAGGTCAGTGGTTGGCAAACTGCAGCTCAGCAAACCACAGCTCGCGAGGCACATGCGGCTCTTTGGCCCCTTGAGTGTGGCTCTTCCACAAAATACCAGCTCTTCCATAAAATACCGACTTCTGCACATGGGCCACGAAGTTTCAATCACACTGTACATGCGGCCCGCACGTGGTATTTTATGGAAGACCCACACTCAAGGGGACAAAGAGCTGCATGTGGCTCGCGAGCCACGGTTTGCCGACCACGGCTCTAGGTCATATTTCACAGTGGGAAAAGCATATGAAGGCTGTGGAGTTCGGCATTTGGATTCTAATCCTGCAGCTGGCGTTCATTATGGATGTGACTCCAGACAGTACATAAAACTCCTTGAGCTCCAGTCTTCTCATCGTTTAAATACCAATGCCCATTATAACAATATCTGCCCTATAGCATGTTGCAAGAATAGCATGGAATACTTGTTACTGTGCCCCACACCCATTAGGTGCTTAATGAATGATGGCGTCCCACTGTCTTTCCAGATTTGTAGCTGTATCTGCAGGACACTTAGTGGTCCATGACTAGAATTGAAGGGGTCCATGAACTTCGTTGGGGAAAATATCACACCTTTATTTTCTTTAAATCTCACTGAAAGTTAACATTTCTTCCAATTGTGAATGTATGACACAGACCAATTACTATCAGCAACTCTGACTGTATCTCCAATAGAAGTAATCACATATTAATATCATGTTAAAGTTTCTATATCTCAAAATGTCACTTATGTTCAAGCTTTAAAAACTACAACTACTTCAATAATAGGAGTCATTAGACCCATTGCTGATGGCTGTTTGCAGGCTGGCCACAGCCCCTTCATGTTAGGGGTCCCCGCTGGGGTGCCTGGCCAGCCTGGGTGAGGGGCTGATGGCTGTTTGCAGGCTGGCCATGGCCCCCAGTGTCCCAAGCTCTCAGGGGAGGCTGGCTGGAAGCAGGTATCTGGGATTTATTTAGCTTCTATAATTGAAACTTTGTTGCCTTTTGTGGAGGCCACAGCCAGCCAGGCAGGTGGGAAGCTTGGCTTCCTCTATCGCCAGGGCAACCAAGCCTCCTGCTTGCTCCAGCTCCTTGGCTGCCGGCCGCCATCTCGGTTGGGTTAATTTGCATATAATAACTCTGATTGGCTGGTGGGCGTGGCTTGGGAGTAGCAAAGGTATGGTCAATTAGCATCTTTGTCTTTTATTAGTGTAGATATATAATTTATGTTTTTACTCTGTTGTAGTTTATTTAGTGTGAAATAGTATTATGTCTATTAAGTAATATACTGTACATACATCAACTTAAAAATGCTTTATTGCTAAAGAATACTAACTATTACATGAAGCTTCAAGAGTCATAATCTTTTTGCTGGTGGAGGGTCTTGCCTAGATGTTGATGGCTGCTGACTGGTCAGGGTGGTGATTGCTGAAGGTTTGGGTGGCTGTGGCAATTTCTTAAAGTAAGACAACAATAAAGTTTGCTGACTCTTTCTGTCCCAAACAGTTTCTCTGTAGCATGTGACACTGTTTAATAGCATTTTACCTACAGTAGAACCTCTTTCAAAATTGGAGTTAGTCCTTTTACACACTGGCACTGCTTTATCAACTAAGTTTATATAATACTATAAACCCCGTATTGCAATTGCAACCATCTTTACTTTAGTCTTCATAAAGAGTAGGTTTCATTTCAAGAAACTACTTTCTTGGTTCATTCGTAAGAATTAACTCCTCATCTGTGAAAATTTATCATGTGATTTCAGCAACTTAGTCACATCTTCAGGCCCCTCTTCTCAATCTAGTTCTCTCGCTATTTCCACCACATCTGAAGTTGCTTCCTCCACTGAAGTCTTGAGCCCTTGAAATTCATCCATCGGGTTTGGAATCAACTTTTTCTAAACTACTATTAATGTTGATATTTTCTCCTCTTTTCATGAATCACTAAGGTTCTTAATGGCATCTAGATTGGTGACTTCTTTCCAGAAGGTTTTCAATTTACCTTGCCCAGATCCATCAGAGGATTCACAGTTGATGGCAGCTATAGCCTTACAAAATGTATTTCTGAAATAATATGCTTTAAAGTCAAAATTACTCTTTCATTCATGGGCTTCAGAATGGATATTGTTAACAAGCATGAAAACAACATTAATCTCATTGTACATCTCCATGAGAGCTCCTCAGTGACCAGGTGCATGTTTAAGGAGCAGTGCTATTTTATAAGGAATCATTTTTCCAGAGCAGTAGGTCTCAACAGTGGGCTTAAAATATTCAGTAAACCATGGTAAACAGAGTTGCTATCATTCAGGCTTTGTTGTTTTATTTATAGAGCACAGGTCGAGTTGATTTACCATTGTTCTTAAGGGCCTTAGGTTTTTGAAATGGTAAATGTGAATTGGCTTCAACTTTGTCACCAGCTGCATTAGCCCTTAACAAGAGAGTCAGCTTATCCTTTGAATCTTTCAAGCCAGGGACTGACTTCTCTTCTGTATCTATGAAAGTCTTAAATGGCATCTTCTTCCAAAATAAGGCTGTTTCATCTACATTGAAAACCTGTGGTTTAAGGTAGCCACCATTAATTATCTTAGCTAGATCTCCTGGATAACTTTCTGCATCTTCTATATCAGCACTGGCTGCTTTAACTTCTCACTTTAGATTATGGAGACAGCTTCTTTCTTTAAACTTTACGAACCAGCCAAGCTTCAAACTTTTCTTCTGCAGCTTCCTCAATTGAAGGTTTTGGCTTAGGGGTATTGTGGCTGGTTTGATCTTCTATCCAGACCACTAAATGTTGTTGTTTTTTATATATCCTATATAATAAAGAGGTAATATGCAAATTAACCCTCATGCCCTCACAAGATGACTGCCTATGACCAGGTCAGGATCAGGCCTAAACCGGCAGTCGGACATCCCTCGAGGGGTCCTGGATTGGAGAGGGTGCAGTCTGGGCTGAATTTTGAGTACCAGTCCTCTAGTATATATATAAGCACTAAGGCTGTTACTTATCATTGGTGTGTTCACTTAAGTAACACTTCTAATTTTCTTCAAGAACTTTTCTTTTGCATTCATACTGTGGCTAACTGGTGCACAAGGCTTTTGGACGTTTTCGTGACTCTGTTGCTAAGCTCAGTCATTTCTAGCTGTTGATGTAAGTGAGAAATATTTGACTCTTTCTTCACTTGAACACTTACAGGCCATTTTAGGATTGATAATTGACTTAATTTTAATATTGTTAAATTTAATATTATCAGAGAATGCATTGGCCCTAGGAGAGGGAGAGTGGTGGGAATGACCAGTTAATGGAGTAATCAGAAGACACACAACATTTATCCATTAAGTTATCTGTTTTATATGAGTGCAAGTTCATGGTGCACCAAGACAATTACAGTAGTAACATGAAAGGTCATAGATCACAGATCTCCATAACAAATATAATAATAATGAGACAGTTTGAAATACTGCAAGAATTACCAAAATGTGACACAGAGACATTAAGTAAACAAATGCTGTTGGAAAAATGATGCCAATAGACTTGCTTAACTAAGTAGCATTTAACCTTTAATTTGTAAAAAACAACAACAACAACAAAAAAAAAAACCACAGTACTGCAAAGCACAAAAATTGACCTGCCTATATTTTACATTTTAAATATAATATGGGGCTTTTCTTACATGAAGAATGTAACCTGCTGGTAATTTATCCCTTTCTAAAGCATTTCATTTACTTCATTTTTTTTACAAAAAGTTCTATCCTAGATTCATAGTTCAATAAAAATAAATAGACTAGTAATTATAGAACTTCATAAATAAATTTCTTTTTGTTTTTGCTCTTCTCTTTATTTCCATAATTCTTAAGTTGAGTCCTGGTTTTTAAAATGTGTTTTTCCTATTGAATGCAACACCTGTGCTTATTCTCTTTGTTATTCAGAAATAAAGAGTAATACAACTCTTTATGCTTCAATTTAGAACAATGATACCACATTATTTTTTCCTTTTGAATTTTGCTCTTTTGTTCTTTCATGTTTTCTTCTCTAATTTTTTTCTTCCTAAATTCTATACCACCTGTTTTTTTCTAAATTGCTGAACTTAATACAAGTTTTTTTAAGTTTACACCTAACAACTTATTAGTTAAATGTAATGATTTTCATAATTACTACTTTTATGTTATCTATATATATAAAAACCTAAGCGACCTTTACAAGCAAACAACCAGAACGACCGGAACAACTGGACGACCAGCAGGTAGCTATAGCACACGCTGACCCAGACCTTGCTGCTGAGGCCCTGACAGCCCAGAATCTGGTTCACCCGCACCCTGGACCCAGACAGGAGGGAGGAGGGAGCCTGATTCCTCATGGAATCGGCTGTTGGTTAGCTTGCTGCTGGGGCCAACCTCCTGCGGTTCCCCCCTAGCAGGCAGGCCCCCCTATCGCCCCAATTGCAAGCCAGACCGAGGGACCCCCCCACCTGTGCATGAATTCATGCACTGAGCCACTAGTTTAACTATAAATCTTACTTTTCTTGGATATCCCAATACTTAATTTTATCAGTTCCTTACATC